TTATGCTGGCCTCTCTAGGCTAGCTACTGGTTCTTATGATCTGATTGCTTATTTTCTTTGGTGAGGACATCTGATGAAGACAAGGATTGTTGGTAAGTAGTGCCTTTATGCTGGTGGGCGGTGGATCATCCCCTTTTTTTGCGAGATGATGTGGTGAGTATTCTTCGTAGCCTCTCTAGGCGTCTTTTACTTGGGTGTTGCGGCTATTCTTTTGTTGATAATTGATCATCGCGATGTTGGCATGGGTTTGCTTGGCCTTGTCGAGTTGTCTGATCTGATAATTATTTTGGGTGGACCTTACCCCTTTCTTTTAGACAGTTCCCCGACCGAGGATATTTCTGAGTCTTGATTTCATTATGATTTTAACTTCGGCTCCCTTTTTTTTATGTCATCATTGGTGGAGGGATTCCTTCCTATGATGATGTTATTCGCTGAATCTTTATTGGTAAGTATTATTTTAGAAGCCACTCCTCGCTTTGGTCAGGAAGCCATTCCTAGTCTTAACGTTGTCTTGGATCATCCTTCATTCGATTAAGGAGTAAAGCACGATGGCCTCTTCATGCTTATAGGCTTGTTTGTTTGGTCGATTCCACTCTATTTTACTGTTGACACATTTTTTCTTGGTGGCACATAGAATCACTTGGGATTGGCTTTGTTGGGCGAGGCTTTTGACACGACTTTGGCTCTTGTGTGGCTATTGAGCTTTTACGAGTGCTTTGTCCTGATGACTCCCTCTGATCCATAACAAGTATAATGCATGTATGTATGGATGCACATGAAAATGCAATATAGGAATGATTTTTTATTATTAATTATTATTATTTTTTTGTATTTTTGTGTAACGCCCTTTCATATGCCCCTACCACGTATGCATGCGATGCAGTTTATGCTTGTGTTTTGTTCCTAAAAGATGCAATTCAGATTTTAATGACAGGAAATCATACTATACGTGTTATGGTCAATGTTGACGATTTCCTTTTTTGTCTGTGCCATTTTTATTATTACTGGGACATATTCTTTTGAACCCAAGGTTTTAGTTGCTCCTTAATTATCTGGTCAATGTACAGTCAAACATCTTTAGACTCCGTTCAGGGACGTCTTGGTCTTCCCTATGTGAGTATTCACTATGCACTCTCTGTGTATCTTTTCGATACCGTTTTAATGTCATAAGGGTCAAGATAAAAGAAAGAAGAGATCTTTGTATATTTTTTCAAAAGTGGTTGTTAGAAGAGATTTTTTTCAAAAAGGGGTTTTTTAGAAGAATGGTTGGCCAAGGTGGGCTTTAGTGTTTAGGGTTATTAAACAAAACATTTTTGTTGCAAGGAAGTTATCATTGTGTTTTAGCCTTTTTGGAAAGTGGAGTGATGACTTAGGGTCGCGCCTTGGTTAGATGATTCCCCATGAGCCGTCTTTCGATTCTTGACTCAGGTTGCTGCTGCCTTAACGTCCTAATTTTTGCCTAGGTTACTTAGAATGTGTTCCCTAGTAGACATTTCTCTTTTGATCCTTATTTTGCCCAAGTTACCCCTTTTGCTTGTGGATCTCCTAGCGAATCTTGCCCTCATTTTTAGGCAGCCCCCTTAGTGGTTTTCCTGCCGGGCTTTCATTTTTGCAACATTTGTGTGGGATGCCTTATTTTACTGAACCCTAGTCATGTGACGTTCCTTTATTACCCTTTCCATGCTATTATCGAGTAATGTCTTTGTCGCAAATACATTTTGTCTATTAAGGGTTAATGGATGAGGCCTAGAGTGAGTATTTAAAGGGATAAGAGAAATGAAAGAATGTTATGGCATTAAAAGCAGTACTTTCAATTTACACGTTCCCCTTTAGCATAGCTCGAAGGCTTGGGCATGCCCCGAGTTCGTGATTCATACGCAGAGAGATTGACAGAGGTTGCTCCCTAGAGAGGTATGGTTGATGATTGGTCTGACTATTACAAGAACACCCTTCCGCTGGCTTGAACGTCGGTGCTGGAAGTTCGGAGTAAAACCTTTTATGGAGTCTTGCTTCTCATAGGGACTACTTGAGCCACCTTTCGATTCTCAAATCGAACCGGCATTATTTTTTTTTTGTATATCATTGAGTAAAGAACTTTCAATCTAACAGTTGGATTTTCAAAATTTATATTTAATATAAAATTATTAAATGATGTAATACTTAATAAAAGTTATACCAATGTTATTATAACCCTCATATATATATATATATAACTTAAACATTGCCACTTGAACAAATGTAAAAAACTCATATACCTATAATTATAAATGTATAAGTGGAAACGAAAAATTAATGAATCAATATTCTTCGGAGATGTTACACAATCTATAATTAATTTATTTAAAATAATTTAAAATTTACATGAAATGTTTTTTAACCTAAAATAGTTGTTTTAACTTATAAAAATAATAATTGATATTATTTACATAAAAAAACTTTTTGTTGGGTAACATTATAAAAAAAAAAAGAGTATAATTAAGTTTGAATTTGCCGACTAAAAGATTTTTATACACGAAAACCTTCTATTTTTGTAAACAAAAGTCCTCCAAGTCTACAGCTGCATTCTCTATTAATGGATTAAATATCATATCCCTCTTATTAATGATTATTTACATGCATGAAATTTAAATTACATGAATTAACCTAGGATGTTTAGATGGTTATTTCTTTTTATTTGAAACAATACTTATGAAAATAAAGAAGTATAGAAAAGAAAAGAGTATTGAATGAAATACCTCTTGATTGAACTTTATTGGATCTTCAAATAAGGAGATCTATTAGGTGCTTTTTGGCTACCTTTCACACTACAAAATACCTCACAAATTTCAAGAAATACAAATAATTACAAAGAGATATATGAAGAGAATTTTTGAACTATACGAAACCTCTTAGAAAAAAAATTTTTGGCCCCAAGAGCAATGCCCGAGTCTACTATTTATAGACATCAAAACTGACCGGAACAGCCCATTCCGATTTTCGAATGACCCATTTTAGGTCAGTTTGTTATGTGTTAAGTTTGAATCTGGAACGGCCTGTTCTGATGCCAGAACAACCCATTTCAAACTTGAACTTGGCTCATAATAACCTATGCTGGAATGGCCCATTCTGGCTCGTTCTTCAGCTAGGGTTTTCAGGCTTTTTTAGTAGTTTGAAACGGCCCGTTCTAGATTAGGAATGGCCCATTCCAGCTTTGGAACAACCAGTTCCAATTTTGGAATGGCCCGTTACGGGCTACTAAATCAAACATGTTAGGCTTTAGGCCCTCTAACGTCACATCATGTTGTTTCCATGCTTCAGGAGATATATGAAGAGAATTTTTGAACTATATGAGACCTCTTAGATGAATTTTTTTTTTGCCCCAAGAGCAATGCCCGAGTCTACTATTTATAGACATCAAAACTGACCGGAACATCCCATTCCGATTTTGGAATGAACCATTTTAGGTTAGTTTGTTATATGTTAAGTTTGAATCTGGAATGGCCTGTTCTGATGCTAGAACAGCCCATTTCAAACTTGAACTTGGCTCATAATAACCTATGCTGGAATGGCCTGTTATGGCTCGTTCTTCAGCTAGGATTTTCAGGCTTTTTTAGTAGTTTGAAATGGCCCGTTCCAGATTAGGAATGGCCCATTCCAGCTTTGGAACAACCAGTTCCGATTTTGGAATGGCCTGTTTCGGGCTACTAAATCAAACATGTTAGGCTTTAGGCCCTCTAACGTCACATCATGTTGTTTCCATGCTTCGGGAGATTCTTTCCTTCATAATAGAAGTCCATTTCTTTGTTTATAGGTCTAGACAAAATTAGGTGTCTACAGCTACCCCTCTTTACTTGCCCTTTGGGATAGCTAGGTGTTTGCTTTTCCAATGGCAAGTAAAGACATATACATTTCATTCGGGTCTTGTCTCTTTCTTTGGCAGTAGATGCCTCCACATTGCTTTCTTAGGATAGATAGTGTTTACATGTACCCTTTCCCACTAGAGCAATTGAGTGTTGGTGAATGCTATGTTAGGTGGGTCGTAAACTACGCCATCTATGCCTCCGACTTTGTGTAGATGCTTCTTGTTGCTTCTGCTTGTTCCATGATAGTGTGATATTTATTCATGGCTCGATGTCGAGGGTTATTTCTTTTTATTTGAAACAATACTTATGAAAATAAAGAAGTATAGAAAAGAAAAGAGTATTGAATGAAATACCTCTTGATTGAACTTTATTGGATCTTCAAATAAGGAGATCTATTAGGTGCTTTTTGGCTACCTTTCACACTACAAAATACCTCACAAATTTCAAGAAATACAAATAATTACAAAGAGATATATGAAGAGAATTTTTGAACTATACGAAACCTCTTAGAAAAAAAATTTTTGGCCCCAAGAGCAATGCCCGAGTCTACTATTTATAGACATCAAAACTGACCGATCAAACATTATAAAAATAGGAAAAAGTGTAGTTAAAGTTAACTATTATAATAATAATAACAATAATAATAATAATAATAATAATAATAATAAATAATGAAGTTTTGATATTTACCAACAAAATAAAATTTAATAAAATTATAAATTATATAAAAAGAATTAAAATATAACTAATAAAAGTGAAGTAAAAAGTTTCTTAATTTTAAAAATTAATAAAAAAAACTACAATTTACAAAGAAAAAAAAATCTAATAATTATAAATTAAAGATTAAAAAATAGATAAAATATAATTAAAATTAAATAAAAGAATAATTAATAAAATATTAAAGATTAACCACAAAATAAAAATTTATTTAATAAAAGTAATAATTGTAAAATCATAAAAATAGATAAAAATGTAGTTAAAATTAAATAAATGAAATTTACGCCGTCTGTGGGAATCGAACCCACGACCACATGGTTAAAAGCCATGCGCTCTACCAGCTGAGCTAAGACGGCTATATATTTTATAGTTTAATTTTCTTTTAAATTCAATATAGTCTATCCTTTAAAATTTAAAAAAAAAAGCCAGCCCAACGCACCTCAACCTATTGTTGTGTAGACCTAAAACCCCAACACTGGAACGAGCAAAGAGTTTAGGCAAGAGGCACAATTATTATGAATTAAGAATGTTTGGGTCTATGTTTTGCTACTGCCCTTGTCCCAGTCTTTTCCATTACTTTTGTCCAGCTTTAATCTCCTCTTACAACCACCATGAATTGAGATTGAAGCAACTCACTACAAAGAATTATCGCCTCTCAGTTTTGAGCAATGACAGCGGTAGCTATGAGGTTGGAGGAGGCTATCCAGAACTGGAACAAAATCAAAATGGTAGGAATGAAAAGTCGAGCTCAGATACATCTTCTCAGCGTGAAGCCCTTCTCAAAGGAGGAGACCAGGTCATCTCTGTTCTCCAGGAAATGATTACCCTAGTGAGTTACTACTAATGAGGAGAAAGATGAAACACTGTCCATAAATAATTTTATTTTTGTTCTTGACAAAGTTGTGAAAGAGAAATGGTTTTGTAATTATCTAAAACTCAATGGATAACAAATGAGAATATTTCTTTTGTTATTGTATATTTTATGAATTTAAAGTTTAACGTCTATGGGTTTAAAATTAAGTATGATTTGATCAATTTTTAATTTTAATTTCTTTGCTTAGTGGGTAATAATTTTTATTTTATTTACTGATTTTGTATTTGTTAAATGCAAGTGTGTATAACTAACAAGTGACAGCAACCTCATCTATGGTATCTTTTTCATCAATTTAGTGTTGTGTTGAAAAACATTCTTATTTTTATTTATTTTGAAGGTGCTTGCAACATATTTCTTCTCTTCTTTTGTTCTATTTTTTTTTTGTTTCTTTTTATCTGGAGTGGCTCATGAGTGACTTTTACTTTTAGTAGGCTTCTGATATTAATGTATTGTATAAATTTCCAGTGGTTATGTTTTTTTTTTCTTGTGAAGGGAAAGAACCATCCTAGCCACACGTTTCCTTGTTGAAGATCACTGATTATATGTGTGTCAGTTCTTAGTTCTTACACAGTTATGTCCGCTGTGCTTTTTTACTTCGTTTTACAAATATTTATTGTCCTTGGTCATTTTGATAGTGAATCGTACAGTGCAATGTTGTTTTGAGCCTGTATAATGTGTATAAATGTGTATCCAGTTGGAAGATATGAATATGGATGAAGAATCTGAAAAAGTGGCGGTAGAGTTGGCTGCGCAAGGAGTTATTGGAAAGAGAGTTGATGAGATGGAGTCTGATTTCATGATGGCTCTTGACTACATGATCCAGCTTGCTGAGAAGGACCAGGATGATAAGGTATGATTTTCAAACATCAAATTATAATTTGTCAGTTAAAAGTTAGAAATGTACATGTTCTGCTCCATAAGTTTTTGTTTGCAAAAGTATTTTATGAAAAATTTACATTTGGATCCTTTTTTGGAAATAGATTATTGTTTTTTTTTTTGTTTTTAAGAAATTACTTTTGATACACTTTTGGTACGATGTTCTTTACCCTGTCAACCAATCAGGTTTTACTTTTAAGTATGACTTTTAAAGTAATTATTATGAAAATCATCAATCTTAATACATGAAAATCGGTAATTGGATAATAGAGGAAGAAAACCTTTATACTGTCTGTGCATTCTAATTAAATTCTTTTTCTACCGTGAGAAGAGAAACTGTGATGAACTTGTGATTAAGAATTACCTGCTTATGTATTTCAAATTATTGCATTCAGCGGAAGTCACTGTTGGAAGTTATCAAAGAGACAGTACTATCACATCTAACAAAAAAATGTCCACCCCATGTAAGGAACTTCTTTGAGCTACTTCTTGATCATCTTCTAACTGAAGAGAAGCTCCAAATTTTATATTGTTCATCAATGTGCAAATTTTTCCTTCATCTTTTAGGTTCAAGTAATTGGTCTTCTTTGTAGAACACCAAAAAAGGAAAGTAGGCAAGAATTATTGCGCCGGGTTGCAGCTGGTGGTGGTGTATTTAAAGGTGAAAATGAGTTGAAGGTTCATATCCCAGGGGCAAATCTAAATGACATCGCTAACCAAGCTGATGATTTGTTGGAGGTATATATAGAAACTTTAAGCATTAAATTTAATTTTCTGTATATTGAATGATAAGAGTAAAGTGGCTCTTAAATCCCTTGAGATTGGTATAAATTACATTCTCCTCTTTTAAAATGCAATTGCATGATTTACAAAATCCCCTGTACCATCTTTGTGTTGTGCATTTCATTTTACACCTGCAAATTGTACAAATCAAATTACTGATATATTAATTATTTTTTGATATTGTACTAATGTGTCTTGTACCTTACAGCTTGGTTTTTGACAAAGTATGCAGATTCCCTTACATTTATAGAGTAGTTGATTTTGTTCTAGTTTTAGAAGATTCTCAATTTTATGGGACTATAGTGATATATATACTTATATTTTAGAAGATTTTCAATCTTCTAAAATTTTGTTCAAATTTTAAGATTCTTAACTTTAAGGGCTATAATGATATATATATATATATTATATATATATATATACCTTTTCTTTTCCTTCAATTTCTGTTTGTATATTTTAAAATATTTGCATGTCTTTCAAGGAGCAGCTTCTTTAATTCTTGTTGATACTGTTTGAGCAATTGTTTGGTGCTGGGCTATATCTTTGCAGGCAATGGAAACTCGTCCTGTTATCCCAGATCGAAAACTTCTTGCTAGGCTTGTTTTGATTAGAGAAGAAGCTCGTGATATGATGGGAGGGGGAATTTTAGATGAAAGAAACCACCGGGGGTTCTATACTCTTCCTCAGCCTGAAGTATGTCGAGATATAGCTTCCATGTTTTGATCTTAACATGGTTCTCACTTTGAGCAAAACATTACCTATAGTGTTTCAATTTCATCTGATTTTACTGTTTGTTACTAAAAGGGCTTGGAAATCAAAACTACATAGGTTTTGAGCTTGTTTAGACACAAGTTTAAAAAATTTATTTTAATAGAGAAGCTATCAAAAGTGATTTAGCTTGCATCCAAATAGACTCATTGTCTTTCATTGTCAGAAATGTTATTTTCTTGACATCTTTAAACTTTTGGCACTACAGGTGGACTTTTTAGCCAAGTTGGTGGCTCTAAAGCCTGGAAAAATTGTGCTTGATATGATAAGAAATGTAATGCAAGGAAAAGATGAAGGTGCAGACAATTCTGACAATGATGATAAGGACGACACCCTAGATGAGGAGCCAGTTGAATTTCTTGGAAGGGTGGGTAGAATTGGATGCTTGTGTATTATACTATTATTTAACTAAGAAATGTGTTATGCATGTATGCAAATTATAGTCATTTAAAAGCATATTTAACTTGTCTGTCATGATATTCAGCCAATTGTAACAGGACAAAAGACACTTCCAGTACGCCCCGGCATGTTTCTTGAGACTGTTTCCAAGGTAATTATATGCCATGCTTTTTGTTTTGAATGGTTTGCATTGAAGCCAAGTGGACCAAATTTAATCTATAAAATATTTGGTCCAGTTAAAAATTTCACCCTTGCAACACCTGAACTTTTAACCATGATAATTTCTCCTATACTCAGAGCTCTTTGTAGAACAATGCTTGCTGCATTGAACTTGAATGATCTTTTATTTTCTATGTATTTCAAATTAATATTTTTTCAATTCTTTTGCTCATCAGGTCTTATCCGGTTTATATGTTGGAACTGACTCTGGCATCACTGCGCAACACCTTGAATGGGTATATTATTTTCCTCCTTATAAACTCTCAAATGTTTCTATTTGCAAAATCAATCTCATTTGGTGTCTGTACTGTAGCCCATTGGAATGATAAACACCATCCCTTTTTCTTTATAAATATCTATTTATAATTTTAGGCCAATGCTTCAGAATTTCCGTTTTATCTCTTCTTTCTTTCGGATTTTCATTAGCTGACCTTTAGTTAAACTTGTTTAACCCACGGAAGATACTTTGGTGCTGGATTGAGATCAGCTTCTTAGAGAACTTAACGATATTGTTTGTTTATGTAAAATGCTCATTGGACTTGACTATTTTAAAAGCAACTTGCTTTTTCTGTAATTGGTAGTTGCAATTACAATTGAAGGGTTTGGTAAACACCTTGCATTGTTATCTATGAAGATGCAAGACTTTTCTTGACTACAGAATGCACAATAAAAGTCCCCTAAAATTCTATAACAGAATGAAACTTGTTAGGCATTATCAACCTCTAGTTTTCTGTCCCTTCTTCAAGTCATCGATAATGTAGGGTATATTTGTTTCAATATTGCATTTACATGTGATGCTGAATATAAGTTGTGTTCCCTCTAATGCATGCTTAGTTTTGTCGATTAAATTAACTTCTAAAGTTATCAGTCACATAATCACCTCCATAATTGTTGATTAAACTAACTTCTAAACTTATCAGTCATATAATCACCTCCTTAATTAAATTAACTTCTAAAGTTATCAGTCATATAATTACCTCCATGATTGTTGATTAAACTAACTTCTAAAGTTATCAGTCATATAATCACCTCCATAATTGTTGTTCTTGTTCTTTACCCATGCTTTCAGGTTCACCGAAAGACACTTCAAGTGCTTCAGGAGATAGCATTTGGCTAGTTCACTTTGTATCCTCTCTTTTATCCTTATGTACTGTCAAAAGACTTGTTAGGCTTTTTATAGCTGTAGGGATAACATGGCAGATTATATGAAATAAAGAACGTTTACAAAGTGAATAAAGTAAATTCCATATAATAGTAGACATCAAAATTTTTGGACTTAGCTTTGTGCTATTTGGACTTTGCTTTGTGCTATTTGGTTTAAGCACTGTTGTTTGGGACATTTGTTAATTAATTCTAATTTATTAATTTCAATACCTCTCCACCGAGTGAGAGTAGTCCTTGAGTATTAGCTTAAAGACGAGTGATGCATAAAAAGAAAAATACTCAGTAAAATTCGTCAGAGTTTAAATGGATAATGTGCAATATATTGATGAATGTCAAATTTACGAATATCATGCAATATTAATTCATAATTCTATTATGCGCATCATTTGAATACAAATCTAAAAATATTTTGAAGAATTTTCTACTGAAATATATTTTTTATTTTTAATAAAATAGTTTTCAAAAATACTTTTTAAGTCATATCCATAGAGGTAGGTATGTCAACAATTTTATTACAACTTCTTTGGCATAACAAAAATAAAAAAATTATTAAAAAAAAGTACAAGATGCACTTTATGATGTTATAGTCTAAAAGTAATTAACCATCAGAGCCAATACAAAGAGGATTGTGACAATAAGAATAACATGAAACTTCCATCAATTAACCCAAGAGAGAGGTCTCAAGATGAAAATATCTACAAGACAGTCTTTTGCGTTAATTTTATGACATGTAAGTTGATGTTATATACTATAAACGAAGAACATTAGAATTGAATGAATATAAACTCAAAGCAAATGATTTTATATTATTCATCGATTGAAATAAATTTTAGAATAATTATTATCGAAATCAATAAATTTACCATATATGATAATGGTAAACTGTAATTGGATGAAAATGAAAAAAGACAACATTGTGAACGATATTTAAGAAAAAGATTTGTTCAAGAAAACGAAAATTTGTTCCACCTCTCATTAACTTTTGTTTCTTCACAAATAAAACATAAAATAATGTAAAATTACCCAGAAAAAATGGAGTACGCTACACATCCTTGCAACAATTTTCTACAAGGGTATCTGCTCCAGCTATTTCTCAGCTACACAAATAGGAAAAAGTTGTCTAAGAACTAAAAGCTATGACCAACCTAATATCAATACTCCTTAACCTCATTCTCCTGCATGCAACTTCTGCAATGAGGAAGAAAATCTAAATGAGAGTTTCCACAACAAAAAGTAAATGTTTTGTCACAAGCATAAACTAGAAATTCAGAAATTTTAGGCCCTCCATAAACAGCAGATCTTTATTCTCTGCTTCAAACCTTCTGCTTCTTTTGTTTGGTTGTCAGAGAACTGCATAGAAAAAATAATATTAACATTGTCATATATACACACCTCATAAAAACACAAGAGGCCTAAGGGTGACGGTCAAATGGACAAGCTGCTTTTTAAAAACCAATAATTCATAATTTAGCATCCATGCTATGGGTAATTGAAATTAAATTACATTAATTTGGAATTAAATAAAACATAAATATTTGACCACTTTGGTGACTACAAATCTATCATACATTTAATCCCAAAATAAATGCAATTAATTTTTTTTTAATTGTAAAATCAAGTTGTTTAATAAAAGCCAATAACATGCAGACTTAAAACATGAATTTAACCAATATCACCATTCAAATTCAATCATGACTTTCAAATTGGAAATTCAATTAGATAATATAAAAGGCCAATCACAAACTCTTTGAACACATAAGATTTCGACTTTGGAATAAATAGGATAGTACTTTCATTTTGATTTCCAGTTTCAATCATCCCAGATACTTGCTATTTCAACTGTAAAGTTAAGTTACAATTCCAAATTAATTTCAGCATTCCATACGCATAAGCTGTAATTGCAAATTAAAATTGACATGACAAGGAAACTGGGAAAGCATTCGACATTTGGTTTTAATACAAATTTTTATTTCAAATCAAAATTATCGTAACAGGGAGATTTCGAATTTCAAATTTATTAGTTAGACCTGCAAAACAAATTCAACCTTTCTCCCCCTTTTGACAACATCAAAAACATACAATAGAACTAATAAAACCAATATGTCCAAATTAGAGAGACAATATTGCAGTTTCCATATGTATATATGCACAAAAATGTCAATCCAGCATTCATACCAAAGATTTTGATACATAAGAAAACACAACATATATGTATCTAACATTTCATACACAATTGATTCCAAGAAATGAGTCAAACATTTTCTCATGAGCATTATTTCAAATGCACCAACACATATAACAAATATTAAGCATAGCAAGTGGATCATTTTAAGAATCATAAATATATACCAATGCTAAAAACAAAATGATCATCATCTGGCCAATATCAAAACAACAACCAAATTTTAATTGTACCAGAATTAAATTGTTCCAACAACAACAAATTAAAACAAAACTAAATTGTTCAAGACTTAAAACTATTACAACCAATATGAGTACTTAAAACTAGAAATTTTAAAGATTGAAACTAAAACTAGAAACTCATAAAAATAGAACAACGGCCAAACACATCACTCCGAGTCATCTTGAATCCCCAACTGAGCCTTAATTATTGCAATCTCATGATCTAGGTTGTCAAACAGATCAAGAATGCCAGAATATTGTGACTCATGCTTCCTTGTCATCTCCATGATAGCATCAACCTTGCTAATCATTATTTGCTGAAATGGAGAAAATGCTTTAGGCTCCGATTCCAACTCTTGTTCTGGTTCAGGTTCCACTTGAAGTGGTTGTTCCTCATCATGAGATGGAACACCATCTTCATCAGTTGCTGGCTCAGGTGTGGGTGGAACATCACCCTTGAATATCCACTTGTCCTCTTGCTTCAACATTCCCATGTGATGTAGAGAAGATTTCTCAATCTTATTTGAAGCATGGAGAATAATCTTTTTCCCCTCTAAAGATCTACCCCTACATTCTCAAACACTCTACTCAATAATAAAGCATAAGGAATAGGACAATCTTGTTTTCTCCTAGCCTTCCAAATGCAGTCATTCGCAACAGAGACCCAATCAATCTTTTCCTTCTTTTTAATAACATGCATCAGCAGAATATCATCTCTAGACATTTGAGCATAATTATGTAGTCTAGGCTTAAGCATCCAAACAATTATAAACGAAATTAACCTAGAATTTTTCTTCATACCTCCCGCCAAGAACTTACTATAGTTTGTGGTCTCCAAATTCCTTTGACAGTCCCTAAAGGCAGCTCCTCAAAATTACCAAAGTTGAAAGGTTAGGGCTTTGTTCTCCCAGTTCTGCTCAACCCAACAACTTCCTTTAAGGTTGATCCATCAAGCTTTATAAGCTTCACTTTCACTACGGATTACATGATTTCTCCATTGCTTAAAACAAAGCACAAAAAAAGTTGAATAAGGTCCAGGTAATAGGGACCTTCTATTTCCAAGAACTTTCCAAGTTCTTGATGCTCCATGAGAGGAGGAAAACTGAAATCCTCCCTCTTGAACCACTCTAATTTCAAGGTTTTTGGAGGAATGATTCTCTGGCCAGCATGCCACTCGAAGTAGTACTCTTGGGCGTCTTCATTAGCAAACCAATTGCTAATCAGCTTCTCAGGTCCAGAGGGCAGAGGTCTCTTGCTCCCCCTGACTTCTAGCTTCTTGATTCTCTTAGAAGATGAGGCCACTTTGTAGAGACAATGGGTTTTGGTTGGAGAAGAGAAGGAGAAGAAGAATGAGAGATTAGGGTTTTTGCGAGTTAAAGTTGAGATAATGTGTGTGGGTTTTATAGAGAATGTGAGTATTGGATGATATAAATGACCCATGCACCGGATTGGGTACTAAAGAGGTGCCACAAATGAAGGAAGGTGGGAGGCTGGGAGTTGGCGCGGAACTTAACCGTTTAAAAATATTCTGGAAAATGAAGGGTCACGTAAATAATTGATTATTGGTACAAATAATCAATTATTTGTATCAGTAAAATCAGCTTAGGAACCCTTTCTGCACTAGAATAATCAATTATTCCAGAGATTTTGTGTTTGTTAACCTTCCTAGATAATCGATTATTTCTAGAATAATTGATTATTCTAGAGACTCAAAGTTTCTCTCTTCCTAGATAATCGATTATTTACTTAAATAATCGATTATTCCATAGACTTCTAGAATTCAAATTCTTCTAGATAATTGATTATTTACAAAATAATCAATTATTTGCTTGATCTCACTTAAGATAATCTATTATATTTCAAAATAATCGATTATTTCGTACTAATTTTGAGGGTCTAGCAACCTTTACTACTCTTGTACTAGTTTTGAGGGTCTAGCAACCTTTGAGGGAGTATGTTCTAAGCTCAGCCTTTCCAAGATGGACTGATATTTGAGGCTTCAATCGTCCCAATGCAAGTTTCAAGTTCATGAAGCGTTATTGATATTGTGCTCATTTAGTGTGCTGATTAAATAGTCATGTAATAGTTTTGGGTTTCTCTACCATAAATAGAGTACCAATCCTTGTAGCTTGTGTCAAAAAAACCAATACAATCTCCTGTTTTCTATAATCTCCTTTTTATTTTTATAACAAGTCATATTTGTAGAATTGGTAAACATACATATAAGCTTGGTAAACGTACCTTCCAAGAAATGTTTGTATATCAGCACTGAGACAAGTACTTAGCTCGTCAATGTTTGCATCAACCTCATTGTTACATTTCAATAGGTTGCAAGCATCTAGAAAAGCAGTAGAATTCACCTTATTGGGGATAAGTGATGAATCTTTTACCTCTGCTTTGAGATGTTCCATCAAAACAAGTGCTGCACAAAATTTCATTGGAAGTTAGAAAATGTAGCTAAATAGTAATCATGTGTTATCTAATCTAACCACCACCAGGCAAGAAGTGGATAGATTTTCATGCAACCTGATAGTAAGAAATTCATTAAATTTGCAATGAATATAATAAAATTCCCTTGAGTTCTAAAACTCAAATTCAAATTGCAGGTGCAAATCATGAATTGCGACATTAATTCTCTAGAAATTCATTTTATGTATGCAACAGGAGGGTGCAATAGCCTAGGAGAAGCCAGTTTCCTCCAATGATTTCAATGAATGAAATCATGCAAAGAACATTATAACTAATTCCAGATATAACGGGTATGTGTTGTCTTTTTCTAATAAAAAAATGTGACCTCTTCTACCTT